AAAGGGGGAAGCCGCAGCAGGCGGAGGCACAGCCGGAGCCAGGGAAGGCGCCGTCCGACGCCCAGCCGGAGCAGGGGGGCCCGGAGGCGGCCGACATGGACCCGGAGGCGGGACCGAGGACCGGCACCGAGGACCCAGGGGGGGACCCGGAGGGAACCGCTGACCCCGAGCCGGAGGACCCGCAGGCAGCCAGCGAGCCACAGCCAGGGGCCGAACGGGCGAGCCAGGGGGCAGGGCGGGCGGGACCAGGGCCCGACGCCTATGTCCCCGTCCTTTGCTGGACACTGAGAGGCGGGGTCCTGGGGGGCGTCGGCCTTGCCGGGGTAAGGACGAGGGAGTCAGGAGGGAGGCAACCAGCAGGGCAGCCGGAGCCTCGGGCGTGGCCGCAGGCGGGGCAGCCAGAGCCGCGGGCGTGGCCTCAGGCAGGGCCGCGGGCGTGGGGCCAGCAGGGAGCGCCGCGACGGGTGCCGCCATCACGTGACCCGTAGGGAGTGGTGCCGTGGCCACGTGACCAGCAGGAGGCACCCCAGCGGGCACCACCGGCACATGGTCAGCAGGGGGAGCCGCCATCACGCGGCCAGCAAGGGGCGCAACCGCGGCCACCTCAGGCGGATCAGGAGCCGGCAGGACAGGCGAATCAGGCAGTTCAGGTGAGTGACCAGCAGGGGGCGCCGCAGGCTGAGCGGCGTCATCCTCCGCAGGCGTACGGCCAACAGGGGGCGCCGCGGGCAAAGCAGCGTCCTCCTCCAGCGGTGCGGCTGCAGGTGAGCGGGGCTGGCCGGGCAGGACAGGCGAGACGGGCAGGTCAGGTGGGGGCGCCTCGGCAGGCGTGCGGCCAGCAGGGGGCGCCTCGGCAGGCATGCGGCCAGCAGGGGGCACCTCGGCAGGCGTGCGGCCAGCAGGGGGCGCCTCGGCAGGCGTGCGGCCAGCAGCCGGCACAGAAGTCACTGGGAGCACGGGGAGCATGAGAGTCACGGGGAGCATGGGAGTCACAGGGAACTGGGCAGGAAGTGTAGGAGCAGGAGACGACACGGGCGCCTCTGGGAGCGCTGCAGCCTCAGGAACCACAGGGGGCGCAGAAACAGGGACCACGGACGCGCGACCAGCAGGGGGCGCCTCGGCTGGCACCTTGGGCACGCGGCCTGCAGGGGGCGCCGCAGGCAAAACAGGCAGTGCAGCCGGTGTTGCCGCGGGCAGAGCGGCAGCGACAGCAGCAGCAGGTGGTGCTGTGGGCAGGTCCAGAATCGGTACCAGGATGGGCGTCGGGCGAGCAGGCGTTGTCCCTTTAAGGGCTTTAGGGACCCGGGGGATAGCGTCTCTCACGGCGCGTAAGCCGCCATGTCCCAGATACCCGGCCGATAAAAGTATGCCTCTAAAGGAGGCGGCTGCTCAGCCACTGCGACGGGGGCTTTGGGTACCTGTGGAGGTATCGCTGCGAGGGTGTCCATGGTGCTCAGGAATTCCCCCTGATCACCAGCAAAGAGAGAAGCTGGGGAGAGAGAAGCAGCTCCCAGGCGGATGGTTGAGGCGTCCTCAGGTGCGTCTCCCTGTCCGCGTTTTTTCCGCTTCTTTTTTGGCCGCTTACCTGCCGTGGGCAGCGGCGTTTGGGACACCTCCGGCAACTCGGACAATGGACCAAAAGGCAGACCGCTGGCGAGGGCTGCCCTCCGCATATTGGATTCTGCCACCCCTCGTCTTAGCTGCCGCAAGGCTTCGCGCACCTTTCCTGCAAGGTGCGCGTCTCCGGGGAGAGACGCCTCCAACATGTCCCTGCTCCGGCTGGCCGTAGCCAGGAGCAGGGGATCGTGCCGGACTTCGGGCTGACGAAGCCAGTACAGGACCTCGTCGACAAGGGCGAGATATTCAGCCTCGTCTGGCTCCGGTCTTTCGTTAGCGAGATCCGTCATTCTGTCACGTACTGGCAGGCAGGTGAGCAGGGAAGCAGAC